TACTAGTAAGGCACTTGTTACTAGAAGCGATGCACTTGTTCCTAATAGCTTATTGTTTCTTATAGCTTCTTTTTACTACTAGTAAGGCACTTGTTACTAGAAGCGATGCACTTGTTCCCAATAGCTTATTGGTTCTATAGGCTTCTTGTACTACTAGTAAGGCACTTGTTACTAGAAGCGATGCACTTGTTCCTAATAGCTTATCGTTTCTAATAGCTTCTTGTTACTATATACTAGTAAGGCACTTGTTACTAGAAGCGATGCACTTGTTTCTAATAGCTTTTTGTTTCTAATAGCTTCTTTTTACTAGTAGCGATGCCAGGAGCCCCTAGTAGCGTCCTTGCTCCTAGTAGTAAGGCCAGGAGCCCCTAGTAGCTTCTTGTTACCCATGTAGCTTTCCTAAAATTCTAGGAACCACATGATCGCTCATTAGCCTGCATCCTACCTAGGAGCGTCCAGTACCTTATAGCTTTTCTCTCTTCTTATAGCATCCTATCCCCCCGCTCCGGCCTTAAAAACAGGAGGAACATATGAATCACGGGAAGTTCCGTCTGAAAAGTGTGGTCGCATAGCATGAGCGCCCCACAGCTTTAGGTGGATTCAATATTGGGCCCAGTTTATTTGTTGGACCGCAGTGTCTTGGGCAGCACCGTCGGTCGTGCTGGTGGAAGAGTGTCGCAATGGGATCTCCGATGGGAAAGACTTACCTCTCAGTGGTGTTCTACAAAGTTAGAAAAGCATCGGGGAAGCGTTCTGTTTCTACACGGACGAGCTGAGTGGTGTTTTGTTCGGGAAATGTCTAAAAACCGAAGCCAAAACTTCGAGCACTCGAAAAGAAGAGCCGATGAGCCCAGGTGTGGATTGGCAGACCTCACAGCGCTGGCAATCTGTGTTGGCCCCATCTGAAATACACCAGACGTACAGGACCGGCTGCAGAATCGCTCGCACTATTCAATTGGTTCCTAGGAGCAAAGGGCATCGCTACTAGGAGCAAGGACGCTACTAGGGGCTCCTGGCATCGCTACTAGTAACAAAGGGCATTTTGTCTTTTTTGCCTCTGGACACGGCTCCACTCCAGGACAGTGATGGCAAGCCACGTGAATGGGTCTGCAGTGCTCTTGGAGGCGCGAAAGTCAAGACCAGAGGAGGTGAAACAAAAGGCTTATATAGTAGGGATGGCCTAGCGATGGCCTCCAACCTACCTAGCGATGGCCTCCAACCTACCTAGCGATGGCCTCCAACCTACCTAGCGATGGCCTCCAACCGACTAGCGATGGCCTCCAAACGACTAGCGATGGGCTCCAACCTACCTAGCGATGGCCTCCAACCGACTACCGATGGGCTCCAACCTACTTAGCGATGGCCTCCAACCGACTAGCGATGGCCTGCAACCTGCCTAGCGATGGGCCTCCAACCTACTAGCGATGGCCTCCAACCTACCTAGCGATGGGCTCCAACCTACTTAGCGATGGCCTCCAACCTACTAGCGATGGCCTCCAACCTACTAGCGATGGGCTCCAACCTACCTAGCGATGGCCTCCAAACTACATAGCGTAATATCGGTTGCTTTCCTTTGAAGTGTTTATTTCCGAGATCATGAGGGTTTGCCATCAGGGTGCCATGATGGACGATAACTCAACTCTCGCCTGAAAACATGTCGCTCAGCCACTTCACTGACCGGCGAGGCCTTCACGGACTTCTTACCGCGGGGCTCGAAGGGGGCCAGCTGGGTGCGTGCCGTGCGACAAGGCCTTGAGATTTGGCAAGGACTGAGAGCGGGAGACTTGAGCGTGGAGGCCATCGCTAGTAGGTTGGAGGCCATCGCTAGTGGGTTGGATGCCATCACTATTAAGCTGGAGGCATTCGTTAGTAGGTTGGAGGCCATTGCTTCTGGGTTGGAGGCAATCGCTAGTAGGTTGGAGCCCATCGCTAGTAGGTTGGGCTCACTGTGTCAGTCACTGTGCCACCGTTGCTCTCGGAACGCTATTTTGAGGACCAGAGCGTTATTGACAACCAAAGGAGATTCAGACGGCATTTTTGTGCATAAATAGGCAGACCAAAGGGTTGACCAAAGGTTTTTTCATGATCGACGTCGTTTGAAAGCTTGGTCATAGGAGAACATCCTCAGTTTACGGCGAGCCTTTCGGGTGGAGCAACCCTCATGGTGGACGCACAGGCGTCCAGGGTGCTTTGAAATCTGAGTGTTCCCAGCCTGGCCAGCTAGATTCAGCAGACATGGTTTGCTTTTTTGACTTCTTCCGGGTTGAACAGTTTGCATGCAAGCTTTGACTTTGTCCTTGCAACGCCTAATGCTGGGAGACTTTAAAGAAAGCATGAGACATGTAGAGCGATTGCTGTTTGTATAAAAGCAAAAAAGAACGGTCTGACGGTCTCAGGGGAGAGAAGAACAAGTAAGAAACAAAGAGAAACAACAGAGAGAAACAATGCTAGACAGACATCGAAAAACAGAAGCAGCATCATATTTTTCGTTCTTTGTCGGCGATTGCACTGCCACACACGCCGAAGTTACAGATTCGCGTTCATGTTTTCTCGGCACCAAGCCGAAGGTCCCTTGAGAGGGGGAAGAAGAACCCGCTACTAGGGGCAAGAACGCTACTAGGGGCTCCTGGCCTCGCTACTAGTAACAAGGACGCTATTAGGGGCTCCTGGCCGTACTACTAGGAGCAAGAACGCTACTAGGAACAAGAAGCAAGAAGAACCCGTAGAAAGATTTGACATTGCTCGAAGAGATTCAGCAAAATGCCGACGTGAGTACGACGTATTTCTCGAATTTGCCAACATAGAAGTACATATACCGCCGGAAAGCAAAGAAGTAACATTGATTTGGAAGAAGAGTACATATAGGTTTCTCCAAAGGGGGAGCAAGAACGCTACTAGGGGCTCCTGGCCTTACTACTAGTAACAAGAAGCTGCAAAGACAAAGATCGAAATAAAGAATGAGGACGAGTTCCAGCCGCCAGCCTTTAGCCTTTGAGTGTCACATCGCAGGACACTGTGATGCAGGCCGTGCCCCTTTATCTGCTCATTTGCATCTCGCTCATCACTTTGGTCGTCTTCGGGATTTTCAGAAGTGTCTTGACTGTTTGTGCAGTTTGTGAGAAGCCACAAGCCTTCTTCCACTCCGCTTCAGGCAAACTTCCTGTACAATAAGATACTTTCCCTATCTTTCCCTTTCATTTGCAAACAATAATCATCGATTTAATCAATGCAAGGTCCATTGCTCAAGCCTGCATTAGTGATGTCTCATGCCAGAACCTGTTGTGCCTTAATTCTAATAGCTTTTTGTTACTACCAGTAAGGCACTTGTTACTAGAAGCGTGGCACTTGTTTCTAATAGCTGCTTGCTACTACTAGTAAGGCACCTGTTACTACTAGCGTGGCACAAGGTTCGGGACGGATTATTCAGACTCGTCCGACGGCTTCGAGAGCGAGGTCTTTTGCTGCCTCTTCGCCTGGCTTTCGCCTTGCTGTTCACTCTAGCAGCGACTTTTGGCACAGCTGTGGTTTTCTATCAGACGCCGCTTCTGCATGGCCTCTTCCCATGGCTTGCGAACTACGATGGTTTGTGCCTCTAAGCATAGAAAAGTGATGAAAAGTGCGACTGCTTCCAAACAAGGGAGGGTTTGCGTGACATTTGCATGTGTGATTCAGGATCCCACACTTCTGATAAACTCATTTAGAGCTTCGGTGGCACCCCAAAGGAGAAGCGAACAATTGAAGAATCCTGCTTATGCATCTGGAAGGCTCATCATGCACATCCAGTGGTAGCTATGTGGAAATCCAAGAGCCAAACGTCGCACATGCCAAAAAAAGGAGACACTCAGGACGGATTGACCATGGTTGACGGCTTTCCCCACAAAAGCAAGGATGGAATTGGTGGGAGCTGATGGGATCGGTCTCGGAGCCGCACACGACTTTCTCTCCGGTCTCGGTTTTTTCCATCCGCTTGGTGCTCCTTCGGCCATCGCAAGTAGCCTTAATTCTAATAGCTTTTTGTTACTACCAGTAAGGCACCTGTTACTACTAGCGCGGCACTTGTTACTAGTAGGTTGGAGGCCATTCCTAGGTTCCTCTTGCTAGGTCGGCCATATCCACTGCATTCGGTGCTCCTTCTGAGGCTACGAAATTGTTCCGATGGCCGTGTGCATTGCCATCGCCCTAGGCCAGGACGCCACGGTGCTGAAGAGAGAGAGAGAGAGAGATGAGTCGGCAGATGTAGAAGTTGCAGATCTGAACTCTCCTAGTAGCTTCCTGTTCCTAGCAGCGATGCCAGCAGCCCCTAGTAGCGTCCTTGCTCCTAGTAGTAGTAGCGATGCCCTTTGTTCCCAGTAGCTTCTTGCTCCTAGTAGTAAGGCCAGGAGCCCCTAGTAGCGTTCTTGCTCCTAGCACCATAAAGGTGCTGGCCTAGCACTTTAAAGATCTTTTAGGGTTTCAACGGAACACAACATACGAAAGGCGCGAAAGATCCAACAGAAAGGACAGAAGCGAAGGCAGAGAAAGAGAGAAGGAAACGGCCCACAAGACATCCAACCTAAGAGCGATGGCTTCCAACCTAACAGAAGAAAAGAACGCTACCAGGGGCTCCTGGCCTTACTACTAGGAGCAAGGACGCTACTAGGGGCTCCTGGCCTTACTACTAGGAGCAAGGACGCTACTAGGGGCTCCTGGCCTTACTACTAGGAGCAAGGACGCCAAACATTCCAAGATGCTTTAGTGACCCTGTGCCAGCGATAGAAGTTCTCAGAGGTCTCGACTACGACATCTTCCTGGTGAGCAGGATCGTGGAGTTCCGCAAAGAAGGCTTCAATGATCCTACCAGTATAGTCTTGGGGGTTGCGGCTCAGCTGATGCTTTTGTGTTGGTAGCTTTACCAAGCTTTACCTGAACTGATTTAACAGGCTCAAGGGCCAAAATTAAGTTTCCAACCTTCCAGATCTTCGATGATTCCCAATCCGGTCTTGATCTCTGTGTCTGAGGCCAACACCGGCGGCATCATCTCGGGCGCAGGCGCCATCATGGCCTTAGCCTTCAGTGGACTCTTCTTCTCTCCCAAGCTACTGCACCAACAGCTCCTTGGAGGATCTTAGATTCCTGTGGATGTGGATGTCCACGAATTGGTGTGAAGGTGGTTGAAGAGGTTTGCTGAATCCAAACCTGAATGCTCCTGAGTCCTGCCTCACATCGTGACAATGCCAGATGTCGAACTCCTCAATTCTTGTTTTTTTTTGCTGGGAAACTAAGAGCAATGGCCTCCAACCTAGAAGCAATGGGTTGTTGCAAGCAAGGATTGACAAAGCCCTCTAGCAGTGTCTGTCATATCGACCCATGACACGGACTCCAAACACGGCAAGGTTTGCTTTCCTCCTGGTCACGTCTGTCTTGCTGGACACTTTTGTCGTGAGGACCTCACCCGACTCCTAGTGACAACATATTGCAACTAGGAGCAAGGACGCTACTAGGAGCAAAGGGCATCGCTACTAGGAACAAGTGCATCGCTTCTAGTAACAAGTGTCTTACTAGTAGTAACAAGGACACTACTAGGGGCTCCTGGCCTCACTACGGAGCAAAGGGCATCGCTACTAGGAGCAAGAAGCTACGAAGGGATTTGTGGCTTCAATGGAGTAGCATTGAGTCACGGTGCAAGAGGGCAAAGAATCTGCACCAGGACTATTCTGGTGCCTGCCATGATGCTATCTGCTGGAGACTACAATTGGTGGCCGCGACAGATGCCACACAGTCGAAAACGTGGGCCACAGCTTATGGCTGTGACAGATGCCGCACAGTCAAAAGGCGGCTGAGATTCACCGGGTGGGAGCCGGGTCACTTTGATCACCAGATGGGCGTCTTTGGACACAAAGATTCTTCTTTGGGAGAGAGAAGAAGTGGAGTGTTGTCCGAAGGGTGCGTTGTCCGTTGATCTGAGATAGATCGTCCAGCTTGTTGCTTGTGTACCATCGTACCACATGTGTGCTAGCTTGTGAAATATATTACAGATAATGAAAATAAAGACGACTAATGACTGATGTTGCTTGCTCTCATCGTTTCTCCCAGCTCATGATCAGCATGTTCTCATCAGTACAGAACCAGCCGCGAGGATGCGCACACAAATGTCAGCACCAAATCAAAGACGTTTTTCATCGTTTTTCTCCCATCGATCGAGTGTGGGATCCACCAAACCAAGCACGCCATTTCAGAGGCATCATTTTTAATTGCTTTCCGAAAAGCTTTCATTGAATTGCTTTCCTCCTTCGGAATCATTCACCTCGCTGCTAAGCGAGCGAACCGAGCGAGCCATGGAGTCGACCCCTGTGTCGCTTTGCTCACCACGTTCCCAAAGTCCCGAAAGCCACGAAGTGCCCTTTGAGTGGCAGCTGCAGGACTTGAGCGTGAAAGCTAGTGTGTAAGACCAATGGCCTCCAACCTACCTAGAATGGCCTCCATTTCTCCGTTTCTCCGAGTGACGAAGGCACCGCAGCTTGTGGCGGGGGTGACCCACGACCCTACTTCACGAACTAAATCGTGAGAATCTGAACGTCCTTGCCGTCCAGGAGCGCGGCCTTGAACTTTTGGATGTGCTTTTCCACCGTCTTAAATCGAGTCTGGTCGATTCGAATGGCGATGCAGTGCGCCCAGAAACGAACCACCTGTGACGATGGACGTGTGTAAAGAGACGAAAGTGCTCTCTGTTCAAGGCGGTGCAACCGCAACAAAAGAAGGCGAAACCATTTCACTCTCAGAACAACCGGATGTTGTCCTGCCGTTTCTCTGTCAAGCCAGGTCCATCTCGAAAATGCTTTTGAGGGCTGGTGTGCAAGACAAAATCTATGTACATGTACAACCAAGGGATGAAAATTATTTCTGCTTCGGCCTTGATGAGGCTGTTGCTCCATTCGGTTAAACGTTCCCAACCGTCGCCAACTAGCTTGTGCGTGGCTGTCTGGGGCAGCCGTGGTAGTGGGGCGATCATGGCTTCAGTTCGAGTCAGGGCATGTTCAAGCGGTGGAGGGTCCGCAGCATCAAGTGGAATGTCGCTGATGAGGGCGTATTCACTAATCTTGATCATGGTGCTGTGGACTTGGTCCCGGAGTACTCTGGCTGCATCAAGGTCGGAGATGGCTTGTTGCCACAGCTTGACGAGGGCTTGTGGGTATTTGAGACTCCATGTGGCACAGTGATCGGCATGATCATTCCCAGTAAAGGCCCACCATTCAACCCAGTCTGTGCCAGTCTTGCATTGGTGGCTGGCGATCTTGTGGACAGTCACTGGCAATTGGCGAACTTGGCGTGCAACTTCCAGGAGCGTCGTCAAGAGGTCTTGATCTTTTGGGCTAAGGCGGCACGTGTCTGGGTCCGCCAAGGCTTGTCGAAGAGTATCGACGACTTGGGCATTGTCGCTCCATATTCGGATGGGGGTTCCACCTCTAGCGGCATATCTGAGGGCACTGGTGGCCGCCAAGATCTCGGCCCGCACACTTGTTTGGCGCCTGCCAGGGACAATGCTCTGGGCTAACGGCCAAAAAAGGTCAGGATCGTCTGGGTGAGCCGCAACCAGACCCCAGCCGGCAATGCGAGTATATGCACAGGTGGGATTCGAGCATGATCCATCTACGAACAGGTCTCGTGGTATAAACGGAATTTGTTCGAAGGCAAAACTTATACAGGTCAAGGTGTGGGCCTTGCTATTATGGAGCTGGGTATCTGCCGTGAAAAAGGTCCCGTTCAAAGTCTTTCGCAAAAGGCCTAGTTGGTGGGGTGTCCAAGAACGAGCTTTCTCCATGGTGAACGGCGCATGGGCCCAGCTAATACCCTGAAACGTCTGGCGGCGGCTGACGCAACGTTGGGCGAAGGATTGCCACCCATCAAGCAAACGGTCTCGGAGGTCTGTCAACGAGCCGTGGAAAAGGTCAACCCTCATGGTCGTGCAGCCATCCATGTGAACCAAGCTTTGCCTATTAGGGATATCTCGGATCCCTCCAGCACGTGGTCTAGACATGGCTCAGGATGGTACCCGCCTTCCCAAGCCATTGGCCTGCACCGCTGAACCCGCTGGTAGGTGCTTGGGCCGACAGCTAGAATGGCCTCCAACCTAGAAGTGATGGCCTTCGCCTACGCGCGATGGCCTCCAACCCAATAGCGATGGCCTCCAACCTAGAAGTGAT